ATAGGCTCCTAATGTTAGTCACTGTGACCTCCACTCATACATTATTTTCTGGAGAAGACACCAGTTCCCCAATGGCAGAGACCACCTACATAGTATTCATTTTCATAGTGCCAAAGCCCAACAGATTAGTAAACAAAGGGAATGCAGAGAGAAAGTGAGAGTGTTGGTAGAGTTGGACTGGCTCTGTGTTTCCATATACATTTTCATAAGACAGCTCATCCTCAAGTCACTGATCAAACACGGGCCCTGCAGTGGGTAGCTCTGTGTTTCCTGCTTCATTCCAGCTTGTTCCGGGTGTGTACATATTTCTCCTTGCAGATTCTTTGCACAACAGTGATGTGCTCTGAACTCACCCTTTCCCACCAAGAGAAAACTAAACTATGGGCTGTTTGGTTAACAGATTCAACCTCATGAATCTGAATTGTTCTCAGAGTAGCTTGATGTGAATATCCTGATCAGTTTCACTAGATGTTCTCACTACCATCTTTGTGAGCCTCACTTTTTCAGTGTGTGAAATGGGAGTTACTGTCCTTAAGTATGTTGGCTGTGCACATAGTCACAGCTGAGGACAAGGGTGGATACTGTTAAACTATAGCCATCGTCCCTAACCCCAGGTACCCCATTCTTTGGGATAACCAAAGAAGCCCCAGCATTTTATTCTGCCTCCTTTTGTCCTTCCATCTCAGCCTGTCTTCTTACTGTGCACAAAGTCCATAACCAGTTAGGCATGGTGGCTATACCCGCAACCCCAGTACTCAAAGGAATAAGGCAGGAATACCATGGGTTTGAGGTCCTTAAGGCTACCATACATTCTATCAAATTTTTAAATGATGCACATTGAGGCCAAAGGGTGCTGGATCTCTCAGAACTGGAGTTATACTGAGAAGCCCAATGTTGCTGGAGTTTCTTTCTAGCCTGGTCCCACAGCCGCTTTAGCCCCAAATAAGCACACAGAGACAGATTATTAAATTGTTAGTAAATGGCTAGGCTTCTTACTGGCTAGCTCTTTCTTAATTATTAACCAATTTGTATTAATCTAAGTATTTCCACATGATCTTACCAGAGAAGGGCCCAGACCTGTTACTCCTTCCTCTGCTACATAGAGTCTCCTGTTGGCCTCTCCTTGCCTTCCTCTCCCCAGAATTCTCCTCATCTAATAGCCTTGCCTATACTGCCTGCCTGGCTAGTGGTCAGTGTTTTATTCATCAACCAATAAGAGAAACATATACAGAAGGACATCCTCCATCATCCTATGTGGGTAAAGGGAACTGAACCAGGTCCTTTTCAAGGGTAGTAACAGGTAAGACATCTCTCTGGCCCTTTTAATGTTTATTCTGCTTTTATTGACCAGGCTTCTCAGCAGTGAAATAAACAATTAGTCCAATCCAACCTCACCCATGCCAAAGGGACCATGATGATGAAAGTCTGCTGGGTTCTGTACCTACCTGAACCTGAGTTGAGGAGGTTGGGAGATGTGGATGGGGGAATTTCTCTCCATATATCTTCATAAAAATCAGAGGAAGACTGTGCAGGCAGGAGAGGCCACTTGATGTTGGAGGCAAAGGCTTCAGTGACACAGTTACAGACAGTTGCCAGCAACCACCAGAAGTAGAGAGGCTAGGGACACTGTGCCAGTATCCTCCATGGGAACAGAACCGAGCAGATATCAGATTCCAGCCTAGTGGTACTAACTTCAGACACTTGCCTCCTGAACTGTGGCTGACTTGCATGAAGCCTCTAAGGTTGGGGTACTTTATCACGGCAATTATAAGACACTAATACAGCCACCTCTACCCTTTACCCCAGCCGAATTCTTTAAAGGAACAACTACTCAAACCACAAGTTGGGCAAACTTAGATGTACAGATATGTGTTCAAAGTGCAGTGATATTTAAGAGACACATAGCTGAGTAAAACTTTCCATTTGCAAAGATACAGAAACTTGTTCTAACTCCACCTAGAAGTGCCTCCCCAGCTTACAAGAAGGATGTGTTTGTTTAGCACAAGAAATTCAGACAGGATTTTTTAACACCACAGCGTTGTAACCCAGTTTCTGAGGGAAAACTCTAGGCATGGGGAGCAACTGGGCCAGGTCACAGCCCCTAGCAATAAGCCCAAAGGTCTGGGAACACCCACATTACTAGGCAGTCTCAACACCACAGGAGCATTCATGTTAAGGGAGGAAAAGGGCCTTCAAACAGTCAGAAAGAGATGGCATGGATGTCACAGAGGTGCAACTGAAGCAGAAGGAGGCTGTGGTTTGACCATGAGAGAGAATGTGGGTTTGTTGTGCACAGGGAGCAGGGAGTTGGTAATGACGACTTGGTAAGGGTGGTGAGCACTGGTCTAGGACAGGCAGAAAACTAAGCAGCCATGCCTGGGTTTGCTGAGGCAGCAGGCCACTGGAAACCACAGGAGAGTGTACCTGGGCACAAGCTGATGAGACATGCATTTAAAAGGGTGCATTCAGCTAAAAACAGAATCCACTGGAGGAGGAGGAACCAGAAATTGTTCGAGTAGCTACAGACTGGCCAGAGTTAGGAGTGGAGTCAGGAAGAGAAGAGTTAGAACCAGTGAGGAAAGACCTGAGGGTTACCTGAGAGATAACCTGATAAGGCCTAGTGGCAGCTGAAGGCAAAAAATGGGAAATTATTCTATGTGTCCAGTTTGAGTAGTAGGCCAGGGCAGCAGTCCCTTTAAATAGGATAGAGCTTCAAGCAACAGGTTTAAGGGTAGACAGAGCAGGTAAATTCAACTCTGAGTCCCTTTCACGGACTCCAGCTTGTGAAGTCCATGGCTGGGGGTGATCCAAGTGTTAAATAAACAATGTGTGTATAAGCATGTACATGGAGGCAGAGCTAGAGATCCTGCTTGGTGCTTATCAAGGGTTAGAATCATGATGGACTTCTAACTACCTCAGTCCAGAGGCAGACAGACAGGTAGCAAAAGCCAAACCCTACAAAAGACACCAATGAGCACAAAAGTGTAGCATCAACCCCAGAGCAAAGTTGAAGTGATAGCAGGAGGGCAGAAGCAGCAGAATCCCAGAGCAATTACAGATGACAGGAAGGGTAGGAGGTATATGTAAGCTCCAGTGGAGGAACCTGAAGCTCAGAGGTGAGCGGAGGGTAGAGACAAGCAAGGCTTGTCTGCATATACAGTGGGCCAAGCTATCAGGTTATTCTCACCTAAAATCAATGGAGAACCTAGTGTTAACATTGCAGCAAAGAAACATTTTAAAAGGCCTGTTTGCAAGCAAAGTGAGGGAGGAGTAAAACTTGGAGGCTGGGAGAGAATGTGTGTGTGTGTGTGTGTGTGTGAGAGAGAGAGAGAGAGAGAGAGAGAGGGGGGGAGGGAGGGAGGGAGGGAGGGAGGGAGGGAGAGGGAGGGAGGGAGGGGGGAGGGAGGGAGGGAGGGAGGGAGGGAGGGAGGAGGAGGGGCGCTGGTGCTTAAAGTGACTGCATTGTCAGAGCATCTTCCTGGTGTGGGTGAAGTCGCACAGCGACAATGTAACAGAAAAGGGAAGGCCACAGCCCTTAGAAATCCAAAGTGTTGGGATGGGCAGGGGGCAGAGGAAACAACACAGGAGGCCAAGAAGGTGCAAGCCAGGGGCAGGAAGCCCAGGGCAAGTTGGCATAGCTGCTGTCATTGGGACTGGAGAAGGAACTGATAAAATATCACATGCCAGAGGTCACCTGGAAGATCCAAAAGTTTCTGTTGTGTTTGGCAGCTAAGTCAGATTCAGAGAACTGGCAACCGTGGTTGGACATGGAGATGTCCAGTGTACAGGCAACTGGTACTGGAGACACAGCAAAGGAGCTGCAGATGGCTGGGAAACACTTGGGGAAGGCTGCTTTGCACTCTGTATAGTTAAAAAAAAAGTTTGGCTTCTATTGGGGCCTTAGCTTCTGCAGTGCAATGCTGATTTTCTGGCCTGTAAAGAGAGGGGCAGTGGAGCATTCTAACATCCTCGTTACAGGTGGCCCTTCTGAAAGCCCTCTTACAAGACCACTTTTCGCTTTAACTGCCAAAATATAAAGGCATTTTTAAAAGCCCTTGAATGATTGTAGAAGAAAACTTTAAGTGTGAAATTCTAAAGTATAGAAACAAACAAAAAAATCAGAGCTATTTTAAGACTCCCCCCCCAATTGGATCAACCTAATGCAAGATTCCTTCTCCCACATACCCTTCACACACTTCATAAAGCTATTTACCCTGATTCATGTGGCTAAATCCCACCTCCAGAAGTAGATGTGAAAATCACACGCTTCTTGAAATTTGGGACACCTAATTTAAGATCTAGGCATTTTTAAGGTCTGTTATAGAAATGCCACTTGGTATGTTCCAGTCTCTAGAGAACTGTCCGACTGTCCTGTGGCCAGAAGAGCCTTTCTTCACAGCTGGGACTTGCAGTTACCAGCTGCCTGGGGGCTGAATATGAAGTCATCTAGCAAATGGGACTGTAATTCATCCTCATACAAAGCGGATAAAAGAGAATCCGTGAAGGGTTGTGTGGGTTGTTTTTGTTTTTCTAATGAGATGGTCTCGCTCTGTAGTTCTGCCTGGGTGCTGGGATGACATTCGTGCACCACCCCGCCCAGCTTCAACACCCTTTTAAAAGGAAAGGTTTGGCCCTGTGATCAACTTGCAGATGACACAGAACGAATAAGAGGAACGGCAGACCTGAAAGGAGGCGAGCCTGAGAGCTGAACTTGCTCACTACAGCTCTCTCCAGGAGGAAGAAATGGAAATGAGCCACTTTCCGATAGCTCTGCGTTCAGGGGCTTCCCACAGCCACACCGCCACCTATCCTGGGGCGTCCCCGAGTGGAGCTCATGGCCACCCCTCCTCGGAGAAGCACCCACGCTCGGGCCCCAAGGCGGCCACGCTCCCGCAGACCCGCCCCCGGCCCGCCCTCCGCCACCCGGCACCCAATCCCAGCGCCGCGCACGTGACGAGCGCTGCCTGCGATGACCTCATCCCTGGTGTGGGATGACGTCAAATTCAAGATGGATGGAATCACAGCGGCAGCGGCGGCTGCGGGTTGCGCGAGCCGAGCGTGAGAGGAAAGGGACCCGGCGCCTGCCCCGGGGCTGAAGAGCGGTGAGTAACCGTCACTTCCCGCGCCCTAGGAGGACGTCGGGCCCTGTCGGGGACTACGGCCTCCCAGCAAAACGCGGCCTTTCCTGACGTAACACTGAGGTGATTTCTCTCCTTTTTTCCTCCACCAGTGGGTTGCGGGCGCCGGGCCCTTCTACGCGTGCGCGGGGCCGCGGTCCTCACCGAGCATGCTCAGACTCCCACGTAGCCGTGTGTGCCTTTACAATGCGCATGCTCTGTGCCCGCACTTGGCCTCGCCCTCGCTCCTGCGCATGCTCATTCTCCGGCCCGCTGAGCTACTCATCCTGACCGGGTGGCCTGGGTAGCCAGGGAATGGACCCGGGCGCGCGCGTCCCTACAAAGCCGTTGAGACACCGCAGCGGGCAAGGGTGCACACTTCGGGGCCCTGCGGCACGCGCGCGAGGCCGGGGGGACTGGGCGGCACTGCGCACCTGCCGCGGCTGGAGCGTGTGACAGACAGCCTGTCGGTCAGCCTTTCCGCGGACACGTCCAGAGCCCGTGCAGACCCTGCCCCACCTCCCCGAGAAAGACCCCCCCCTCCCGCCCAGGGACATAGCGCACAAGACTCCTTTGCAGCCCACACGTGGGCCGGGGCTTCTATCTCCCAGGCCTGGTTGTCAGGAGCACCCTGAGAGACCGCACCTTGTAATCAAAAAAACCATGCATGCACTATGCGTCCCTGAGGCCCTGGGTGCTGGAGAATCACACACTGCAGCACTTTGCAGGGGCCCTTAGATAGGTACTCCTTGAGGTGGCCCGACACAGGGGCGCTGTTGAGGGACACTGAGCAGCATCCGAAGCCTGTAATATTTGTGTTAGTGCATGAACTCCAATCGCCTCTACGTCCTCGGACATCTGTGTTAGAGCATAGTCCGGTGATTGTTCATCAGCATGACCCTGAGTCATGAGTTCCTGGATTTGTTTCATGATCCTCCCACCTTGTTTAAGAGGGCGAAAATAGGTTAATCCATGTTAGCATTTCCATCAAAAACCCTCCTCCACGTCTGGTAATTAATCATTACCCTTAACCTTACCCCTAAATATTGACCTTAAAGGAGAAAATTGGCTTACTTAAAAGGGACTCTAGTTCAGCCTATACACTTAACAGTATAGCGTTTTTTATTTAGTAAAAATATACAGAGTGTCATTCTGAGAAAACAGAAATTAGTCAATAGAAGCTCTCCCTCAAGGAATTGACAGTATTATGTAGTGGGGGAAATTGGGTATGGCAACACTAAAAGCAACAAAAGAGTTAATATAGAGGTCTCCAGACAAGGAGAAGTCACTTAAGAGCTGATTGAGGGCTGACTTTACAGATATCAGAGAGTGGCCAAAGGGCAAAGGAAAGAGAATCACTTTCTGCCTGAGGAGACCTGGCTCGCATCACCCCAACCTAAAGAGGCAATGTATGAAGACAAGCAGGTGTGAGAGTGTGGACCACAGGTGCCAGGCAAGGCAAGTGGGTTCACTGAGATGGATCTGTTCAGAAGGCAGCCAGGGGCTGGAGCCTCAAGAAGTTTGAGCAGAAATGCAGATGGAGTCGTAGTCCAATTGTTAGTGTAGCTACAAAAGCTGAGAAAATGCCCTGGTCTGGGCTCCACATGGCTCTGCAGAGATAAAGGTGAACAAGTCTAGTGAGCTTTCTATGCATGGCAGATGCCTGCCAAGCCTTGTGCTAGGAATTCACAGATGAATACAAGGACTTTGAGAAGGGGGGGGGAGCACGTGAGATCTGAGAGATTCACATACAAAAGCTGATGCATTGAAATCACTATGGGGTTATTGCAGAGGGATGGATGGAGTGTTGCTGTTGGCAAGTTGCAAAAGCTTTATAGTTCCAGCTAAATCTTTCTGTGCAACGGCCAAGTAAAGGAGAGGTAGAAGATAATTTTAAGTTTCAGAAACTGGAAATGCAGGTTTGTGGGTTACATGGTATGGAGTGCCACCCAGGCATGGTACAGAGGTGAATTGACATGTCAGAGAAGTCTGTAGTTTGGATTTTTCTAGAAAATAATAAAATAAAAAATCAAACTGTAGTCTAAAACAGGGCAGTAAAGTGGCCAACTTCATTTAGAGAAAGCAGTCAAAGAGCTTCATTTGTACTCCTTAATTTAATTGGAGTAGAAGGTAGGAAATAATCACATATTTATTGTGTAGGATCCCACACTGAACATCATGAAGAATGTCAGAAGTAATGTATTGGACCTTAAAGAGCTTGAGGTCCTGGTGGAACACACAGCCAGCTAGCATGTGACAGTGAATTAACACAGTGTGGTTGTGTGTCTGCTCTGTGTGGCAAAGGAATTGGCAGAGGAGGCATTTGCTTTTTTTTTTTCCTTTGACAAAGGCTTGTAGCCTATGTTGTCCTTGAACTCAATCCTCCTACATCAGCCTGGAGTGCTGGCATTGTGGACATGTGCCACACCCTGTATTTTGTTTACTCGTTCTAAGCTTAAGTAAGTTAAGGACTGTATTTATTGGCCTGCTTTTATTTAGTATACAGACCCAGTGACCTAAACAACACAAACTTTCTCATAGTTACAGAAGCTGGAAATTGGAGATAAAAGTGGTGTTGGCAGGCCAGCTCTTCTGGGGTTTCTCCCCTTGGCTTATAGACAGCATCTTATGTCTTCATAGGATCTTCCCTCCATGTTTGTCTCTGTTCTAATGCACAGTTTATTTTAATTAGCTGTATAAAGACTGCAGCACCAAATATGATTGCCTTTTGAGGTGCAGAGGTAAGGACTTCAATATACAAACTAGTGATGTTGGCTGGGAATGTTCAGCTGTAAAGTATTCCCAAAGGATTAGAACTTGAGCATATTGGAAAAGGAGTTTGGCACAGTCTAGGATGGTTCAGGTTGAGTGGTGGAGGAGGTCAGGTGGGAAGATTGTGTCTCTAGGACAGAAACAGGGAAAAGCCACAGTAAGGTAACTAAAGGATTTTAAAAGTATAGAGGCTTGAAGGTCAGTTATTAAGGATTTTGTATTTTAGCCTATTTTGTTTTAACTAGGACAGAGGAAATTATAACATTATTCGGTCTTTTCATCTTAACAAAATATTACATCAAGATGGTTCCTGAGCTCCCTGTGCACTTCTGGGGACTACACCAGCCATCACACTTCTCTCTCCAACAAGACATTTAGCACATTAAAATTGACTTTTGGGATTTCCTTATCTCTAGACCGTGGGAGTTTATTTGTCTTGAGTACCTATGTGTTCAAATATATTTAACCATGCCTTGCACATGGAGAGAGCCAATGAGCAAACTGCATTTGTGGAAGAGATTGTGTGCTGGGACATTAATGAAAGCCTTGCTTGAGGAATGTAGCATATGAAGGACAGGACAGGAGCAGGCAGCATGCAGAAATATGCCAGAACAGAAACTGACTGACTGAAAAGGGAATTTATTGTTTAAAAAAAAAAAAGATTATTCTTGAAGTTTGAGGAAAATCTTAAAAACAAACAAAACAAAAAAAACCTTGGACCACGAAGGACAAAACCATACCACTTGCAGGAATGTATGAGTCAGGCAATGACACATTGAATTTTCAGACTGCACTGAGATCAATTAGTCAGTTCCACTCAGCTTTTGCCTTTGTCTTGTCATGAACTATAGTCCAGGGAGAAAGTTTCTACAACCATCAGCTTGCACTTGCTAGGCAAAGTGTTCTCCCAAAGCAACACAGAGAGTCTCTGCAGAAGGAGTAATAGCTGCTGGGTGGCCAGAACAGACCAGCAGAGGCTGCTTGTCTGCAGTATAGCTAAGAGTCTAAACTGTATTACAGTGGAGCCATCCTCCTGGCTGAGGCTGCCCTTCAACCAAATTTGAACTAGAAAGAGGGAGGCTGAAATGTGTTGAAGTGGAGTACAGTAACTTGACACCATGAAGGATTCCCTAAGCAAGTCTGGCTTTGAAACCTGAGGCACTTCAGATAATTTGTGGATGTCTGCAATGTTACCAGGTGAGTGATGATAAAATTGAAGCTCAGAGCCAACTTCCTGCCACCACGTAGTAAAATCAAATGGAGAGAGAATACTGAATCCAGAAGTGAGGGCTTGGGGATCAGCTTTGTGTATGTAGTCAGGTGTTGAATGTTCACCTGTGTCACCTGCATCCCTAGAGTTCAGGATCATGTTAGGTTTTTGTAAGCACTCTCCAACATTGCAAAGGGGCAGTGTTCCCAGGACTTAGCCTTAGGTTGGTAAAGGGACATTTCCCACAGTGCTGCTAGTGTGAATTTTTTTGGAATAGTCCCAGAGCCTAGCTCATTTGTAATGATTTTTAACTATGGAACCAGTCTCTTAAATTGAAATAGGGGAAATCATTTTGAATCCTCTCCATCTCCTCACCCTCTGTAGTACCCATTGAGTTTCTGACTGTATACTTCCCTTTCTGAATATACTCTGTTCCAAAATTACCTACCTTTCTTAAAACCCAAAGTCCTCGTTCTGTGTGACATAAGAATGGGAATACTTGGGTTGAATCAATTTATATTAAGATACAGATGTCTCTCCTCAGCATCTAGTATAGCAGAGGCATTTGTGTGATGGCATGAAGTAATTTCATTGAGTCTTATCTGTCAGGGGCTTTAGGGTCCTTGTGGGGAGTTGACTTGAGGCCAGGGCAAGCTTCAAAAGATTTTAAGCCTGGGCCAATCAGGTAACATTCTTGGAAGTTCTGAGCCTTTGACTTTAACTTCAATAGCAAATGAGTCCCCGGTCTTCCCTGATGCCCCACCCATCACTCACTCATCCAACCCTCCCACCTCCTGGCCACATTGATAGCCTCCTGACATGAGTGTTCTTCCTTATTCTGTGCCTTCTTTATCACATTGTTGTCTACCCAGTCACAGGAATGTGAGGTGCAGGAGAACAGGAAGCCAGCCAGCGAGTTCACCTCCCACCATCAGCACCTCTTATGATGCACAGTGTACAGCGGGCTCACAAACACTCGGGAGAGGAAGAGAGAAGGAAGATGTGTACTTGCCAGGTGGGATTTGCTCTGCAGACTGGACCTTTCAAAGATTGCTGTTTGTGCCTCATGAGATTTCCACGTGGTATTGGTAGGGCTAGTACTGAACAGGCAAGGATACTACTGCTCAGAAAGGATGAGCAGTCCTGATAATACTGCATTCCTGATAGATGGTGGTAGACCAAAGACTTCTCCATGGAGAGCTAGCTACCATGGGCTTTTGCTGTAATAATTCTCTCCATTCTTCCCCCTTTGAATCTCTAGGAAACAACATTAAGTAGAACCATCTCAGGCAGTTTGGAAAGGTATTTGAAGGGAGATCCAAGTGATAGAGAGGTCAACTTGTTTCAGAATCTGGTTTTCTAGGGGTGTTTGTTTCAGCTGCTTCTGCTCTTCAATGGGACTTTTCTTCCACACCTTTCAGGCTCCTCTGCCATGGTAAAGTGATGGGATTTCTGCATTAATGAGTCAGGTAGAGATGAGCAGACCAGGGACAGTAATGACTGTGTGGTTTGTACATAAGATTTGTTGCTGCTATGAATCTTAGTTAACTCATGCAGGAAAATGAGTCTGCTATACCTTAACATTCATCGAGAAAGTACACACAGCAGCATAACTGTTGTTCTGAGGACTAAGCAGCTGAGATGTCAACAGGTCAGGTCCAGAGAGTTCATTTGCACTTCTCCAGCCATAGTGTGCTGGATTGCCACACAACACTCAGAAGCTCTGTTTTCTCCTTTGCTTGCTCTCTCAAGGCAGTGTTTATACTTTAGTTGCTAAACTCAGTAAGCGGTTACACCTGGTATAATCAAAATGTAACAATTCAAATGGTCCTTGTTTTCAGCTAGACCAGGACTGGGACTATTGCTTTCAAGTCCTTATAATTGAATTAAATTGTAAAAGCAACCCATAAGTGAAGGTGAATCCACACTGCCTGGCCTTCTCTTCAGTGTCTCTAGAGACTGTAGGAACAGGTATCACTCTTCTGTGTTTGATTTCCAGTGTCTTCATTTTGTTTCCCAGAGAGAGCCCTTTCATCTAGATCAGCATTATGACAGTTCCCAGGATGACTTTTGTTCTCTCTTGTTTGTAGTGCTGCATACACTGTCCTTGTCCCTTTTTGGGTCACCATACCATTTCTGCTTGTCTCTTTCTCATGCTTGATCCATCATCTGACTACCTCTCACCTGGATCTGGTGTCTGTCATCTGTACTGCATCTCCTATGATATCCATAGACATTTCTCTGTACCCATATAACTGTACAGTATCAACAGATTGCTGTGTGCTATTCCTATGCAAGACTAAACTCTAGGAGCTAGGCCACACTTGTCTTTTTGACATTCTCTGTGGTTAGTAGAGTTTTAGCATATTCTCAGTGGATGTTAACTTACACCTATGGTTTTAGGTTGTTTTGGTGTCTTGGTTTTTTGCTAAAAAGTAGAGCCTAAAACAACGTTATCTAATAGATGTTTGTTTGGGCAGAGATTCCAGAGAGCTCAGAAAAGGAAATAGATGCAGAGGTAAGATTGATAAGTTGTCACTCGCCTGTAGAGTGTCAGAACTGAATCCCCTAGAAAAGGAAAGGCAGGTAGGGAAGCAGCTTGATTTCTCTGCCAAGTCCATCTCAACAAAGGCCATCGTTCTCCCTGTCCTGGCAGGGTCCTTGATTCTTCCCTTGCTTTGTAGTTACCGTCCCTGTCAAGCCATTGTAGCAGTAGATGTCTCCTATGTCCTTTGCTTATCATCAGCTGTCTACAATAAAGCCAGCGATGTTATAATTAAGACATAACTCAGGCTTCTTCCCCATTATCCTCCAGTGGCCCTCCATTTTCTACATAATAAAATCCTTTCCAAACCACCCAGCCTTACAGTCTGACTCCAGAGATGATATTGTCCATGAATCCTAGCTCTTTTGGCTCCGGTTCTACTTGACCTTGGTTCTTTCCTCTGTTGTGTTATCTTCATAATCCCCAGGCTCATGCCCTGCTCTATTGAGTTTTCTCAAATGTACTTCCATGACTGATTGGATGGGTGGGTGGGTGGGTGGATGGATGGATGGATGGATGGATGGATGGATGGATGGATGGATGGATGGCACTATCTGTAGGTACTGAGTGATGGTATAATCATCCCATCTGCCCCTCAGCAGCAATGTGTGGAAGCTGTTACTATCCCTGTTTGCTGTGCAGGGGATAGACTGGGACTTAGAGTGATTGACTAGCCCAGAAACAGGTTGACTCTGACCTCCCAGAAAAAAATTCTTGTACAACTCAACTGAATGTACACTTGCACACAGGGCATATCTCTGTCTTTAGCGGAAAGTGGTTTCCCAAGCCCTTGCTGCATTTAGTACTTTCTGATGTTTTCTTTCTTAGTGCTTTATCTGTTCTTAATTGCTTGTTTCAAACCATTAGAATGAGTTAAAAAACAAAACAAAAAAACACTTGACAGATATCTGCCCTGTGGACAGACCCAGCCTTTGCTTCTTGCCTGCTGTTTCCCTTGTGTCAACAATCTGAGTCAGTCTTGTGGCAATCTAAGCTTACTGTTTTTCTGCTGACCCCTGTAAAGAATGAGAAGTGTCTTTACGCAGATGTGTGGTTCTTACAGTGAACCAGTAGTGACAAGTAAATGGAAATGGCTGCCAGAAGAAAAGGATCTCATCCAAGCTCTTGTTACAAGTAAATGAGTTACTTGTCACTGTTAAAGAAAAGCAGGCAGGAATGAAGGGAAACCTGGTGGGTGCTGGATTCACCTCTGCTGGCAAAAGCACACCCCTGTTTGCATCGTGCAATCTGTTCTCTCTGAAAACTGAAGAGCCTAGTTTCCAAGTGACCAGTAAAGATTGACCCTGGAGAGCTGGGGGCTGGGGACTTGTTGACTTACATGTGGGGCTGGGTGTGGTTCTTGGCAGCATTCTCTCTAGAATAAGCCTGTCAAAGATGTATCTAGTCACCATGGATACATTCTAATAGTAAAAATCAATGTCTGTCTGTCTCTGTCTCTGTCTCTCTGTCTCTCTCTCTCTCTCTGTCTCCACCTGTCTCCCCACCCCACCCCCAAGTTCCATGGCAGTACTATTGGTAAGAGTCAGTGATACAGAACTAGACCACACGGAGGAGGTGTTCATAGAGCAGAGCCCACACGACATGTCCCATGATAAACCTGCTTTTTCCTAGAGCACCAGGAAGGGGGTGGTAATCTGGTTAAACCTATTCTTACAGTACTGATAGCTGCACATTTATTGAGTGTTTGATGTAGATGTTTGCACATCTGATCTTTGCCACACACATGTAAGAGGGCACAGTTGTTACCCTGCTTCACACACAGGCTTGTGTATAGAGGGCATCAGCTCACAGGGTAGAAGCTAGCACCTCAGCCAAGTATCTGATCCCAAAACCCACAATGACCCACCAAGTTACCTTCTCTCACCTTTAGGTTTGAACAGAATTTCAATAACCCTTCAGTTTAAACTCCTTAATCAGCTTTACAGCTAGGCTAAAGTTCTCCATGCTGTTGAAAATGGCATTTAAAAAATCACAAGCAATTAGTATAAGAAGGAAAACAACCTTTTAATTCTCTAATGCTTCTAACCTTCATTAAACACTTTGACCTAGTAATTAGCAAGTAATTATTCCCTTTCCAAGTTCATTTTAAAAGTCCACAATCCATTATTAATCGTTAGCAGTCATGTTGCATTCAAATATATCTCTTGATAGTAATAAAACTGAGGTAGAATGAGGAATTTTGACAATTCACATTTAGTTTATTCCCCGAATAAACTAAATGTAACCAAGCATCAGATGGGGAAGGACCCTAAATGTTAAACCTCATTTTCAAGTATCATCTCTGTGTGTTAACTTCAAGCAGGCCTTTGATGGAATACAAATGCTGATGGTCTCACCTGTCTTCCAGATAAACTGCAGGATGGAGGGACTGCTGCATTACATCAACCCGGCACATGCCATTTCTCTGCTCAGTGCCCTCAATGAGGAGCGCCTCAAGGGACAGCTGTGTGATGTACTCCTGATTGTTGGGGACCAGAAGTTCCGGGCTCATAAGAACGTCTTGGCTGCCAGCAGTGAGTACTTCCAGAGTTTATTCACGAATAAGGAGAACGAGGCACAGACTGTCTTTCAGCTGGACTTCTGTGAGCCTGATGCTTTTGACAACGTTCTGAACTACATTTACTCCTCCTCCCTTTTTGTGGAGAAGGGCAGCCTTGCTGCTGTACAGGAGCTGGGGTATAGCCTTGGTATCTCCTTCTTGACCAACATCGTTGCCAAAGCCCCTCAGGCTCCTTTTCCAGCCTGTCCAAACAGGAAAAGAGTGTCAACGGAAGATGATGAGACCAGCTCTCAGAAGCGAAGTGTCATCGTGTGTCAGGGCAGAAGCGAAGTGCCAGGGAAAGCCAGTGGGCCAGCGGTGCAGGACCTGAGCCATGCTACCGTGGTCTCGCCAAGTGGTGCAGTCAAGACCAGCACCAATAAGCCACCTGTGGCCAAGCCGTCAGAACCGCTTCACAGTCTGTCTTTAACTGAAAAGAGTTGGCCGAAGGATAGTGCTGCTGTATATGCAAAGTCTGTTGAACAGCCTGGGGCTTTGGATGATCCTAACAGGGGCAGTTTGGTTAAGAGGAATGCAGTCCTACCTCCAAAGCCTTTACAAGACAGGGAGGCCACAGACGATAAGCCAGGGGTAAGCAGCCAGCTACCCAAGGGGAAAGCTATTGAGCTGGCACTGAAGAGACCACGGCCACCTGTTCTGTCTCTTCGTAGTTCATCAGAGACTCCATATCTCTTAAAAGAAACTAGCAAAGGAGGCAGTCAGGGGGAGGATAGGAACTTGCTCTACTACTCTAAGCTAGGCCTGGTGGTTCCATCCAGCGGGCCTGCTTCTGCAAATCAGAGCGTTGACAGAAGTGGCCCATTAGTGAAAAGCCTCCTCAGGCGGTCACTGTCTATGGACAGCCAGGTTCCTGTCTACTCCCCCTCCATAGATTTGAAGTCATCCCAGGGATCATCCACAGCAGCAAATGAGGCATCAGGCAGTGTGTTCTGTGCAGTGTCTCAGAAGTCATCTTTAAAAGATGGCAGTGAAAAAAAAAACCTGGATGACAGACCTCAAGTGCTACAGCCTCACCGCCTCAGGTCCTTTAGTGCTTCGCAGTCAACAGACAGGGAGGGAACCTCCCCTGTGACTGAGGTGCGCATTAAGACTGAGCCTAGCAGCCCTCTTTCGGATCCCTCAGACATCATCCGGGTCACCGTGGGAGATGCAGCAACAACTACGAGAGACCTGTACCTCAAAACAGAGGAAGACCAGAAGGACATAAGCAGACTCCCAGCAAAGAGACGGTTCCAGGCAGACAGAAGGTCACCCTTGAAGAAGGCAAGGGCAAATGATCTTGGGCCTTCTGTCTCAGAAGAGAACTGTGAGGAGGGCAGGAGCCCTCCCTCCCTTGACAGCAACTTCCCAGATTCTGAATTAAACAGAGAGGAGTTTGGTGAGTTGGAGGGGACGAGACCAAACAAAAAATTTAAATGCAAACATTGCCTTAAGATTTTTAGATCAACCGCGGGTCTTCACCGCCATGTTAACATGTACCATAACCCAGAGAAGCCTTACGCTTGTGACATCTGTCACAAGAGGTTTCATACCAACTTCAAGGTGTGGACACACTGTCAGACCCAACACGGCATAGTGAAGAACCCATCGCCAGCCTCTAGTTCCCATGCAGTTTTGGATGAGAAATTCCAAAGAAAACTGATTGACATAGTGAGAGAGAGGGAGATTAAGAAGGCCCTGATCATTAAGCTGAGGCGCAGCAAGCCTGGCTTCCAGGGACAGAGTAGTTCCCCAGCACAGCAAGTCATCAAGAGGAACTTGCGCTCCCGAGCCAAAGGGGCCTACATTTGTGCCTACTGTGGCAAGGCATACCGCTTTCTCTCTCAGTTTAAGCAGCACATAAAGATGCACCCGGGAGAGAGGCCCCTCGGAGTGAGCAGAGCTGCTAAGCCAAAAGAGCAGGCTCTGGCACGCGCGGTAGAGAGCAAGGAGGTTTACCCGTGCCGCCTCTGTAATGCTAAGCTCTCTTCTCTTCTAGAGCAAGGCAACCACGAGCGCTTGTGCCGGAACGCCACCGTTTGTCCTTACTGCAGCCTCAGGTTCTTCTCCCCCGCGCTGAAGCAGGAGCATGAGGACAGGTGTGAGTACAAAAAGCTGACCTGCCTGGAGTGCATGCGCACCTTCAAGTCTTCCTTCAGCATCTGGCGGCACCAGGTGGAAGTGCACAACCAGAACAACATGGCTTCAGCAGACAACATCTCCCTGCCCACCCTGGACCACAACGGTGAAGTGGCAGCTGCTCCCAGGCCTCAGGCTGAGCCTAGCAAGGTAAACCACGTGGTTGTTCCAAAAGAGGACACAGTGTTTAGTGACTCTTCAGAGCAAGTGAACTTCGATTCTGAGGATTCCTCCTGCCTCCCTGAAGACTTGAGTCTTTCAAAGCAACTGAAAGTCCAAGTCAAAGAGGAGCCTGTGGAGGAGGCCGAGGAGGAGGCTCCTGAGGCCAGTGCAGCTCCCAAGGAGCCTGGTCCCAGCAAGGAGGCTGGTCTGTGGCCCTGCGAGAAATGTGGAAAGATGTTCACGGCACACAAGCAGCTGGAGCGACACCAGGAGCTGCTGTGTTCCGTGAAGCCCTTCATCTGCCACGTGTGCCACAAAGCCTTCCGCACCAACTTCCGGCTCTGGAGTCATTTCCAGTCCCACATGTCTCAGGCCACAGAGGAGCCTGCACAGAAAGAGGCTGAGGTGTGTCCTGTGCCCACAAATTCCCCCTCACCACCACCTCTACCACCTCCACCACCCTTGCCCAAGATCCAGCCCCTGGAGCCCGACAGCCCCACAGGCCTTCCTGAGAACCCGACCCCAGCCACAGAGAAGCTATTTGCACCCCAGGAGTCAGATACCCTCTTCTACCACGCTCCTCCCCTTTCAGCAATCACATTCAAAAGACAGTTCATGTGCAAGCTTTGCCATAGGACTTTCAAGACCGCCTTCAGTCTTTGGAGTCACGAGCAGACACACAATTAAAAGACCTACCCCTCTCACCTGTCAAAACAGCAGGCCCTTGGCTTGTGAACTGTGTCCTAAGACAACATTTTTTAAAAAAATAATAAAGGTTGGAAATTGTTATGTTTGAATTTAGGTTTGGGGATAAATTGATATTGACTAGGAATGTCCTTACAGCTTCAGAAACAAATGTGGAAACATTGTGTTCTGGACCTCAGCCAGCAGGGGTTTGATTCTGTTACTGTTAAAGTTGAGTTAATGTTGGTGAATTGCATGGTTCCTCATTCCAAGGTGTCACTATAATTACTTGATTGAGGTTTTTGTTTTCTGGGTAGTAGGATATTAGGGTATTGTTAGGTTTTTGGTTTTGGGTTTTTTAAATTTATTATTATTTCAGATACCTAAGTTTGAGGTAACCCCTTAGCCGTGTTTGTAAGGCCAAAACATGAGAAAGAAAGGGAGTCATTTGCAGTATTGAGTCAGATTTTAGAATACCTTAGCAATAAGAAAAAACAAACCCCAACTTTAATAAATTATCCTGACACTTGATAAGACAAATATTTGGTATTTTGTGGTCCTATGAAACTTTCTTTTTGTATGAAAATTGTGAGACTTTAAATCAGCAATAGTCACACTTAGGTTTTTCTAATAAAATAACGAGCTATCAATCACTTCGTATAATCAGTGATGGTCATGTGCTAAGGAAGACAGAGAAATAGAAACATGTTTGGGGAGTGCTCAACAGTCAGCAATAGCAGATTAATTGTGAGAGCCACTGAATTCTGGTATGTCTTCTGTATCATAGCAGCTTTCAACTGGCACTTTAGAGCTGACAGTGTTTGGTCTCTACGGTGTCATTGGGATAAGCATTGCTAGCATGAGGTTAGCAGAGCACAGCCTCACCGCATCCTAAGCTACCATTCCTTCTAGGAGCTTCAGAGATTGGAGGAAGTGCCACGTTGCAGCATTCATGCACTTTACAAGAACTGTGTGCACAACATACACATTTCTGTCTTATGTGAGGATATCTATGGGGGTGTTGAAGTGGACAGCAGTGAAAATGTCACTATCTGACATGCAAATGTATATTAAAAAACTAGCAAAGGTCCAAAATTAGTTTTTGCAACTTGATTTGTTACTTAGGGTTTGGGATTCTTTTTTTCTGTTCCACATAGGTTGTAAATAAAAGCCTCTCCATAGGCAATATACAAAGTTCAGTGGAGTATTTCAAAAGGCAAAATTTCGATTTCACTCTGAGGGAGGATCACACCTGGAAAGGAAACTAGGGGAGCACAAACTCCCTATTCACTTTTGCTGCAAGCTGCTTCTTCACATTTTCAAGCAGAGATCTAGCAGAGATACTACCCATCTGATTATAAGCATTCTACACCCATGATAGCAAAGGCAGTCTTTGTATTGAAGCAAAGATTTTTATAAAATACTAATTGACTTTGTAATTATAGAAGCTGTATGTGGAATTTTGACCTTTATTCTTTCACTTGAAAAAGCTTTTGAAAATCCATAAATATGTCTGCGTTTCCTATTTTGTTCCTTAAAATTTCAGAGAAGGGAAATAAAATTAGGTTGCAGCTACTGATTCTTGCCATCTGCTTTTTTGAACTATGCATTTTAGAGATGAACTAAAAGTGTCCACCTTTTAATGAATGAAGCTAGTGCCAGGCTAGGTAGCTGTCCACTGAACTCAATCCCTGTGGTGAGTGTCTAGTCTCTCTCTCTAAACACCTTGGAGTGTCACTTTTTAAAAGGCCATCTCCCTGCATGGTCGTCTCCTGTGTAGCTACAGAGCGATAATCTCCAAATCTGGCATTGCCAGCTCAGTGCCCCAGGACTTGAACCTATGCTACATTTTTGAAGATTTATAAAATAATATTGTTGCAAAAAAAAAAAGAAAAAAAGTATTTTTGATCTAAATGTAAGGTCTTCATGTTTGTTAGGATTTACAAATTACCAGTGTTTGTCACCTTTTTTGTCTAGGAATAAAACATAAGATTTCAAATAAAATTTTGAACCAAAAACATTTATAATGCAGTTGTGACTTTTCTATTGCTTTTTATACTGTATATTAAAAGACTCTTTCAGAGTTTATTTTGGTGTTAAAAACTATCCTTCCACTCATGTAACTATTTTAAATGCTGAGAAACAAAATAATAAAATACATTAATCACTGTATTCAGTAAACAGTTTTTTAGAGAATGTTTATCTCAGCCAGCAGGCAGATATTTGGTGTTCAGTAAATAGGTCTTTCATCATTGTAAATCTTTAGATAGTAAAGATATTCTTGTAAATGTTTTTTTCTGGTTGTAATTAATTTTTGCAAGTATAGAAAGCACATTGTTTCTTGTAATTATTTAAGATGCCTGCTTTTTTATGCAGTTGTGGAAAGAATGTAAACTGTTTTAATATATTCTTTGTTAACCTGAGAACTTGTTAATGAATTGTTTTCTTTATGTGGGGAGGATTGAGTACCTAAAGCATGTTTTTCCCACTCAGAGTAATAAACTAATATATCCATACATTTCAGGGTTAGCATTTCCAGGTTGCTAAGCCAATTCTCCCTTTAAAACTAGTTCATACATCTGTGGTTCTGCCAGATGGACAGCTGACCAGGGCTGAGTGTGTTCTGCTTTTCTGTTTCAGAATGTGTCCTTCTCTTTAAAAAGATTGCCTGGTACTCAGTCGCTTACCACCTGAACCTACATGTAGCCCGTGCTGGTGCTAATGAAAGTGGTAACTGAGATGGTAAGATGGGCCCTGTCTTTTGGACAGAGGCCTGAACACTACCTTCCCAGGCCTGGTGACTGGAAGGCAGTGCCCGAAGCCGGCCTGTGTACCCTGTAGTTGGGCTCTCATGGATGTGTGTGTGTGTGTGTGTGTGTGTGTGTGTGTGTGTGTGTTTTGATACATTTCCTTAATACAAAATAAGTAGCTTTCATTCCTTCAGATTTCTTTATAAATCCTGTTGGGGAAGTCCTGTTATTTGCCTGTTATTTGTCAATAAAGTATTGTTGTGCCAATAGGAATCTAGATAGGTGGGACTAGGAGTCCAGGAGGATTCTGGGAAGGAGAAACACAGGAGTTCAACATGTAACCGCCATGGGGTAGGAGCCCGGAACTATTCTCCGGTAAGAGACATACTTAGATTAACAATTATGAGGTAATTACTTAAAGCAGAGCTAGCCAGTAAGAGACAAGCAAGGCCAACAGCTTCCTAATGAATATAGCCTCCTGTGTGTTTATTTGGGACTGATGCGGCTCTAGAACCAGGCTGGCGGGAAGGCTACTCACAAATAAAAAGTTTCTCTTAACAAAATCCTATCCATTAACCTTTATAGAAATCCAAATCCAAAGTCAGTTTGTTAATTTCTAATATCTGATTGGTGGTTTGGGGGTAGTTGTGAAATGCATTAATATCTCAAATAATGCCAGGGCTTACCCTCCTTAAGTGTTCTTTTAAAAATAGATTTTTAATCCAGGTGTGGTGGTACTTTCTATCATCACTATTCTTTGTTTGGGAAGCTGAGCCCTGGAGTGCATAGTGAGACTGTCTCCAAAAAAACAAGTCAAAATATTCAATTTCCTTGTTGTAGCTTTAGCACTGTAAGGCATTTAATGTTTTCATGATTTTTTAGCATGCTCTTCAGAGTCCTCCGTGAGGACTCCAGCTGGGAAGAAGACCACTAGGGACTTTTCTCGGGCTGGGAACTAAATTGGGGTTCAGATTCTAGAGAAGAAAGGAAAGTTAGTGTCTAATGTTTTAAAGATTCCTTTCAGAGACAGACTTTGGAGAATCCTAAGTATTTTCCTGTAAATCTTTAAAACAATTGGATTCTACATTCTTGGGTCATTTGTGCATACTGCAGTTGCTGGTTAATATTCTCAGAAGGTAGCCATTTGTAGCTGGCTTTAATCCAAACTGCCCTGAGAGCAGTTTTTCATCAAATACTGTTTAACTGAAAGCAAACAGGTTTTACAGTTGTGTACAAGTTTTGTTGTTCTATGCCTTTGCAGAATAGACTGCTTGACTTTTTTAAAATAACCTTTTGGGAACCAAAAATGCATAGTAAGATAGGAATGTGACGATGTTCCATTGCTTATTCTATCCATTTCTGTAGTCTTTCCTTTGTTTAATGGTACCAACAATGGATGGGTCAGTAAATCTGCACTGTGCTCTGCTCTGAATTATGTCATTGGTATCCTCTGTGCTTTGAAAACCACCAGCGCTGTTGGTGATAGTGAAGGGGGATGCTCTTCCCAGGATGATAGGAGCAGCACTGGAGAGTTTGGGGACACTTGATTTCCCAACCTCCCACCCCTATTCCAAAGTACCTGTGGAATTAGGTTGCTAGAGCTCTCAGTTATCAGACTAAGTTGATACCACAGGTATGTAAACATTAAGACTAAATGCATGTGTATCTGTGCCTGTCTGCTTTGTGTCTTTCCTGTACAGATTCAGTTGGAAACCATGGTTTTCTTTACTTTCACAAGGGTGATCTTGTGTTAGCGAGGAGGATGTAAGTACATGACAGCACCTGAGAACAGCCTTTGTGTTGTAATGGGGCTCCTCCATCCAAGGGATACAGTCCCACTTTATTTTTGCAAACACCTGGCTGTGGTTATGTCACCAAAGTAATAGAAAGGGCAGAGAGAGAATGGGCAAACTCCTCCACTGATGGATGAAGCTGCTTGCATCCCCTGCAGCAGCTTCGCTTCTCTTGCCAGTATCTGAAGCCAGTCTGTGTTGGGTGTGTGTACCTAAATTTCTTCAGCATACTACACCAGAGACCAAGAATGCCATTTATTAACCTTTTCCCTCCCCTTGCTTACCCAGTTGTTCAACACAGAACCGAGTTTGAGCTAAGGAATTTGAACATTCCCCTTGGCAGCCATCAGCTTTCTGGGTTTAGATTTGTTGGTCTCCTGCCTTCTCCTCAGACCTCATCACACACAAAATCTCTAAGTGCCATGCTGTCAAAACCCATGTCCAGTGTTTCTTGGTTTCTTATGGACATGGGCTATAGAGTACAGGAGGGTCAGGTGTCAGGTACAACTCATGCAAGGCACTGGAGAGTATGTCCCTGTGATGCATAGTGCTTTACAGAATAACCACCCGAGTCCCAGCTTTAGCTTTGATTTGGGGATGATATGACTGGCTCTCCACCCTGTCTTCCACAGTGGAGCCATGTTAGCTCCATGCCATCATGGAAAATCCCTGAAGTGACTTGAAGGAGGAAAGGCTTACTTGTCTCAGAGTGTCAGGGATTGCAGTCTATGGTGAACTGCTCCATTGCTTTGGGCTTATGGCAAGGCGGAACATCATGGTGGAGCACATTGTAGAGCAGAGCTGCTCACCTCACAGCTAGGCACTGTGGTCCCCTTTGAGGTACAGCTTTGTTGACTCTCTTCAACTGGATTTCCATCCCAAAGACTACACTACCTCCCAGTGGGACCCTGGTTGGTCACCAAACCTACAGCACATACATAGCCTTTGGAGGACATTTCAAGTGGAAACCATAACAGATCCCTCAGTCCACCCACTCTAGGGAATCCCAAGCCTACATTTTGCCTGAACCCTACTTGCTATGGGTGGCATTGTTTTCTCCATGAAGAATGTCCTGGCCTCTTTCCACCCATTTTTCCTGTCAACCCAAACTAGCTGTTCCTCTTAAATGGCCCCATAAAGTCCTGACAGCTACTCACCTCGTGCTATCTTCTGCCCATTTCTGATCTACCTCACTAGATGAAGCAGACCCAGGACTTGGTATTATATCTTTCAATATTCCCAATCCTAGCCTAGAATGATGCCTACTAGATATCTGATAAATAGGCAACAAATCTGGTTACAGGTAAGGAACAGCCAAATCAACTTATCTTCAGGTAGCAGTGAATTTCTGCATGAGTTGCAGTCCCAGAAGGAATGGCCAGATTTAGACAGGCAAGCCACTCAAACTCAAGTATTGCTAGGTGCTACCAACACCATCACAAGTATGTGACAAGCTAAGTGCAAGTCATTGGTGCTTCTTGGGGTGCAACTCAAATGAGATCACCTTAAGGGACATAACAGCTGACACCAAGTGTTTGTAAGACACCAGATTTAGGTTAGCTCTCATTATATTTCTGTTTGCAGTCTTAGGCAGCCAAGTCATAGCTGGTCTTCCATGTGGACATTCCTTAACCTACAATTCTCGTAGCCTTGATCATTTAGACAATTATAAGCTGGTCCTTTGATAGAGTGCCCCTTGATTGGATTTGCCCCTGCCATGCATATGTTTGGAGCCAGAATAACTCAGAAGCTATATTCTCTTCACATGCCACCATTGGGACACAAACACATACAAAACTGTAGTTTCTGGTTCCTTTCAGTCTTGTGCATGAGGCAGATGCTGCCCATCTTCTCTGTATTTTCCCTTCTTTGCAGCCAGAACATAATTTATAGATGTTTCAAGACTCTAAAATCCCATTTCTTTTCTCATCCTTACCCTGTAGTTTTGGCTAATACCCATTGCCTAAGTTATTTCTTATTTTGTAGTCACTGCCAAATGGGGATTGCCTCATCTCACCCTTGCTTCAGTTATTAATGGATTTTCTTTCCTGAAGAAAAACAACAACAAAAAAACCCACACAGCACCACACTTCCCCACCCTCTTGTTCTATTTTTGTTTGTGAGCCTAGCCTTTAATGGCTGAGCCATCTCTCCAGCCCTTCCCACTCTCTTGTTCCTACTTACCTATCTACTCTTGTGTGCTATGGAGTAACTGATCCTTTTCTATACAGCTGGCTATAGCCTGTTGCCTTCAGTATGTATTTAATGCTTAAATTAGTCTGAATATTGTTTCATGTATTTTGTTTTGGGGCATAAGATGTTTTATGGCATTCTTTTCCTCCAAGATGTCTGAAAGTAGTCATTTCCTTAGTAAATCCAATTACTTTGGGTGGGGGTCAGAGGAGAAACATGGATGCTCATTGGCACTCAAATGTGGATTCCCTATGCCCTTCAGCAACCAGACTTAAAGGGGAACACACACACACACACACACACACACACACACACACACACACACGACTGGGAAGTTAGCTCAGTAATCTTTCAAATATAAGGACCTGAGTTTTATCCCTTGGACTTACTAATAAATAAATAAAAGTTTCGCATTGCCAGGCATGGTGACAATTCCTTTAATTCCAGCACTTAGAGGTCAGAGACGAAAAAATAGATCTGTGAGTTTGAGGCCAGCCTGATCTACATAAGTGAGTTCTAGGCCAGCCAGAGACACATCGTGAAACCCTGTGTCAAAAATAAATGAATAAACAAATACCTAAAAGCTGAGCATGGAAAAAGTCAGATGGTGGTTTACAATGGTAATTCCAACACCAGGGAGGCAGGCAGGCAGATCCCTGGGACTTGCCAGCCAACCATCCTAGACTATTTGGTGGGCTCCAGGCCCACAACAAACAAAATGATGGCAACTGGGAAATAACACCTGAGAGTGTCCTCTGTACATGCATACACACATGAGGA